TGGAAAGTTCTGGAAATCTGTTAAACTCAAGTAAAAAAACATGAAATGTATGGCAGACAGTAAGGAGAATTAACGTTAAGATAATGGGAATGAAAGGGTTAATGTGAATTTTAGAATCCTGGAAAAATCTATCCGAGTCCTGGAAAAGTCCTGGAGAAGTTCTGGAAATTTGTTTCTGAAAAAGGGTACAAACCCTGTATACCCTTGTAATCAGGAAAGGGAACTTTTCTGAAAAACATTCACTTCCTGTATAGTACATTCGAGTAGTTCAACAAAGAAGACTTTTGTCTTCCATTATAAAATGAAGATAGTAGCAAATTCTTTGTAGTAAATTGATGAATTTGCTGCATGCAGACATCCACAACATTCAAAAGGAAACATTTCTGTGCATAATTTTTTTAAACTTTTTATCATAATATATTATTGTACTGAACCATAATCCATTAAGACATGGTGGGTCAATATGCATACTTTGGAGAAAACAACTATTTGTCTTCCTATCAAGCTTACCTTACCCTCTCACTGCCACAATTTCTGCCTCAATTCAAGTAGTTAATTAACATTTTACTTATAAGTGAGGTACTGCTTGCCCCCTCAAGTGGCCCATCTGTTCCATCTCCTACAATGTAGAGGCAAATTTAGCCAGTAAGAAATGGTGATTAAATGACTTGGTATTTTGTATGACAATGTAACTATGATTTAACATCTCTGAATTAAATTTTCCCAAAGAGGTTTCCTGGCACCCTGTTTTGGTAAGCGTGCTGGACGTGGGATCTGGCAGTGAAATATTTAAGCCCGGGGCTGCCCTTGTGTGGTGTTGAATGAGAACACTTCTCTCTTTAGGGGTTCTTTTTATTCAGGTGTTTAAATTCAGTATGAACAAATTTATGCTGGGAAAACTATGCACTGAATAGTAAAGAGGTTGTTATGCTGCATCAGGTGCTGCACTAAGGCCTTGTAAAAACCGGTTTATAAAACCTGCTGTCTGTTGATGTTAGATTATCCAACAATGGGGCCCTGTCATGGAAACAGCTAAATGAAACAACTTTTAACCCCTTGAGCCCCAGTAGTAATCACAATAAATTTTCTCCTTGTATTATCAAAAGTTCATCATTGGAGAGGTTATGAGAATTCAGGATATGATCACCCAGAATAAGTTGCTTGACATCTTAACAACTTCTTTCCACTGCTGCCATGAGAACCATCTATGTACTCAAAAGGACAATTTATATTTTGACATTGGGTATTAAAGGGTTAATTTTAGTTTATTTTAATTCAAGACCAAAGGAAGCCTCTGTTTTTCCCCTGTTTTGT